CATCTCGTTATTGGTGGGAGGATTCCCCATGGAAGGATTAGTCTCTAGGACGTCCTCGAGCTGTCTGCCATTGGTGGCTCCCTGCTGATCCTGCATCCAAGATGGATTTGTTTGGTTTCTGCTCATATTTCGTGTTGACACCATTAGTCACTGAAAGATCAATTTATTTGTAACAAGAACAGTCGTTCTCACAGACGATGTCTAACTGATGGCGTAAATCAACGTGGATGAACAAAAGGCGCAAGTAACGTGAAATGAGTGTGAATCAGAGCTTCAAGGCTCATGTATGATGCTACAATCAAATATTGCGAGAATTAAAGGAGTGTACACAGTAAAAATATAGTGATTCATCGACTCAAGAGCTCGACTAGTTCACTCTTCAATAGAGGTTTTTGCTCCCATTTTTTTCTATTGATTAGTTGAATGTAATACAAAACAGTACTAAACTGATTAGGATTTTTCTCTTTTTCTCTCCCTCTCTCACTCTGTCTCTGCCTCACGATGAGACGTTGCATAGTATTTATAAAACTGCCCCTTATTATGTGGAATTTCGATCAAAATCTTTGCCCATTATTCATGGGATACTCCTTGATTTTAGGAGAGAATCTTGATTGGTTAANAGAGGAAAAAATGCAACACCCCAAGCGTGAATGGAGATTCAGTCTGCTGCATTAAGGCCTCCATTGTAACTGGAGCTTTACTCATTCCTTTATGTGGCTGAGCTCCTGCTGGATGCCGTTGTAGCGTTGCTCCCAATATTGTTCTCTTCTCTCCTGCTAATAAGGAAAGACATAATTCTTTTCACCTTCAAAGTTTTGACTTTGTACTTCTTTATTATGGCCATTCATAGAGAGTAGTTGGGGAACCTGCCCCAAGGTCTACCTGTTCTCCCCCCCTTCGTTGTCTTCTCTGAGTGGATCAAGATGTTGGTCCCTGTAGTGGGGACTGTTCTGATCTTCTTGGGTCGTACATGCCTCTTGTGGGCGTTGCAAGAGCTTCAAGAGCTCCTCGTTTTGCTTTATCAAGCGCTGATTGACAAGGCGAAGGACTTCCATCTCGTTATTGGTGGGAGGATTCCCCATGGAAGGATTAGTCTCTAGGACGTCCTCGAGCTGTCTGCCATTGGTGGCTCCCTGCTGATCCTGCATCCAAGATGGATTTGTTTGGTTTCTGCTCATATTTCGTGTTGACACCATTAGTCACTGAAAGATCAATTTATTTGTAACAAGAACAGTCGTTCTCACAGACGATGTCTAACTGATGGCGTAAATCAACGTGGATGAACAAAAGGCGCAAGTAACGTGAAATGAGTGTGAATCAGAGCTTCAAGGCTCATGTATGATGCTACAATCAAATATTGCGAGAATTAAAGGAGTGTACACAGTAAAAATATAGTGATTCATCGACTCAAGAGCTCGACTAGTTCACTCTTCAATAGAGGTTTTTGCTCCCATTTTTTTCTATTGATTAGTTGAATGTAATACAAAACAGTACTAAACTGATTAGGATTTTTCTCTTTTTCTCTCCCTCTCTCACTCTGTCTCTGCCTCACGATGAGACGTTGCATAGTATTTATAAAACTGCCCCTTATTATGTGGAATTTCGATCAAAATCTTTGCCCATTATTCATGGGATACTCCTTGATTTTAGGAGAGAATCTTGATTGGTTAAGAATTTCATACATGAGACCCAATTCCCACAGTCATCCAGTTATTTCCTGGTTGATTCAGTTACGATCTCCCCAAGGAGAACTCCACCCCTAGTTCTCTGAATTCCTCATGTCTTTCCTAAACTCCTGACCCGACCTCCTGATCTGACCTCACAGCTAGAACTTCTTTGAAGTATCATCAATAATAAATGGGTAGTTTTATAATCTCAAATTATTATCTATGTACTTGAATCAATCTTGTACAGGTGAGCAACTTTAAAATCTGCAGCTACAGATAGAGGGCCTTATCAGCTCATCTCTCTGCTAGTGGAGACTTGGTTCGGACAGGGCATCGCGACTGCAGCGATTGATACTTGCTTGGTTAGCAATTCAATCCGCATCTTCCCCCCTTACATGTACTTGAATCAATCTTGTATAGGTTATCTATGTACAAGGATTACATATATAGAAGGTCAACAACTTTAAAATCAACGAAAATTGATGGAGACCTTTCCCATTTCAATCCCAATTTCTTCCACTTGGAGATATAATAACATGCAGGCCCTCAAAATATAATCTTGATAGGTAGGGTTGGTATAAACACTAAAACCAAACCAAATATGATATTAGGTTGTTCAAGGTAGGCTTTGTTAGAGTTCCCACTGAGCTACTTCTTTGTTGAAGATCTAGTAACCTTAAGAACTTGGTATGCCTAGGTTTGTACCAATGGTCAAGCTTGCTTCCTTATTAATCCAATCCAACATCTGCATAATAAGGGAGTTAAGAATTTGAATCTTATTCCCATCTATTTTTTTTTTGTCCATTGCTATCACATCACTCATTTTTATAACAAATTAAATCATTGAATTTTTAACTTAATATAATTTTTATTTCAAACATTATTCATATAAAAAATTATACACATGTTAATATTTTTTTTAACTAAGTTGATATTTTGTTGAGATTACATATTTTGAGAAAGTTGTCAATTTTTTTTTTTAAAAATCATGAATAGAAATTAATTTTAAATTATGTAATTACATATAGTGAGATCAATTTTTTAAAACTTAATAGATAATGGGAAAAAATATTATTATTTCATATAGTATAATCAATATTTTAATTTCTCAAATTTTATATTATATCATACCTTCAGACACGAGTTATGACAAATATAATTATATGTCAAAGTCCAGTGGCAAAACAACAAAAATTTACCAACTTTATGATATGGTACAACAATTATTACAACTTAGTAAGATCTAATAATGACTCAATAAAATCAAGTTAAGATTGAATTAATAATTAATAATGTTAGAATAGATTTCAATGTACCAATGTTGATTTCAAATTTCATAATTAAACCCAGGACTTTAAAATCTCATTGAGTCATAATTTTCACATTTTCAAATTTCATAATTTGCATTGTGAAATTATTCCTAGAATTTATATAACTAAACCACTCACTGTTTTTGCAAAAGCTCGCATATCTATTAAAAAACTAGTCAGTCTCACTATACATGAAATGAACATTTTAAATCCTTAGTGATGATTCAGTGATTAAACTTGGTATTTGATCATTCAGAGATTTCAGATTCAATCTCTTCCCACATCCCTTCAAAGTCAATCACCCTTAGGATATACTTTAATCTAATTCAAGTCATGAGACATGTTCTAATCTAATTCAAGTCATGGAACATGCTTTAACCAAATTCAAACCATGGTGACAACTACGGAGCTTAAGGGAATAATTGGTGTTAGTCTAAACAATCTATAGCAAAAAATAAATAAAATTTGCAATTTATAGGCTCTTATGTTATTTTATATGCATTTTCATAGGCACCCAAGAGGAAAAAAAAAATTAATTCTTGATGGGATTCAGATGTGCCTGACTTGTTCACTTGCCTAATCTAATTAAGATGTGGAGCCAGTTTTGGTCAACATCGAATCATTCAGTATGAACACAAAGCTGATTTGACCGTTGCCCTTTCCGTTGATGAATGAGTCTAAATAAATCTAGACAAACCCCCCCCTCCCCCACAACAAAGTTTAAACCTTGAGAAATAATAGATGTACCTACCAAGAAGTTTTCATTTTCTAGCAAAACTTACACAACACTGGAACTCTGGACAGGCTTCATCAAGCTTTCTTGTTGATTCCACAAATTGAAGAAAATTCAAACTTCCCTTAATAGTGCTCCCTGTGACAGGCCCAAAACATATATAAAGTATCTGGTCAGACCACATGCATGTATTCTATAAACTTCCGGTAATATGTGAAAAAAAAAATGATAAATATGATGCTTTCAATATGTAGTTTTCTTGGTAGATTTTTCTTTATTGAAAAGATTTCTGTATGTTCAAGACAATGAGTTTCACAAGATACATTGTTGCAGAGAGCTAGTTTCAACTGTTGCAAATTGATATTGAATCAGATACCGGAAGCTTTGCACTCTTTGAAGTGTAAAAGTAAGAAATCAGTTCTATCAGAATATGACTTCTACAAAACAAAAATATATGAATATAAAAATGTAAGTCATCAGGTTATTCAAGCTTCAATTTTCTTTTCTCTAAATTAAGTACATGAAAGGCCAACTGCAGCATTGTATTTAAAACTCTACCTTCTTTCAAATAAGACAAGACATCAAAATGGAATCGGAATTTTTAAGAAAAAAATGCAGTAGAATATCTTTTTAGACCTTAGTGCTATAACAGTCAATGCAATTGCATTTGAGTTTACTGGATATGTTACTTGCAATAAACAGAAAGAATACCTCATTGTTTCTTTTGTTGACCAAATGCTTCCACAGTAGCACCAGGAGATTTAGGAGTCTCATTGTTTGGCTGCATGTCAAACAAACAAAAGGATCTCTCCATCAAAGAAGCACTATCTAAACCAATCCCTCCCTCACCCAAAATAAATATAAAGAAAAAGAAACAAAGCAAGAGAAAACCGGGAAGGAGGGAGAGAGCAACAAATAGAAACAGCAAAAAGAGAAGAGAATAGAACATATACTGGTTTTGAAGTCCTATACGTGCTTAAACCAAGAAAATCATAAATATTTTACAAGTAAAGCAAATCGGATGACATTGTAGACCAAAAATTATATCTGTACATAATTTTCATCGAAGATGGTATAGCTCAATTGGATCACATTAGTTTCAAACTAAAGGAGTACCAATAATTTTACAATTTGAAAATTCAATTATTGCAAGTTTAGGAGACGAATACTATTTGAAATTTATGTGTATAGTATTGTTGGAATGGGAATAATTACAAGATGGATCTCTGGTAAAAAATTTCCATCAGGATAGTAAAATGCAATCCTATTACCATTAATTTAAAGAAAGATCTACCTGAGATGCATGACAAACTGGTGGAGATACAGAACAAAGAGAGGCTCCGTACAGGGGCATTGGCATCTTTTTGTCTTCAACTCCTCAATGCAATCCTTTAAAGTTTGGCCATCAAGCAAGCATATTTGTTTCTTTTTTCTTTGTTCCTGTGAAGTAATTATGAAATTTTCCCTTTCACATGCAACAAGTGAAGCCTCACCAGTTTCAGTATGGTTGTGATTCTTTGACGTGTCACTTAACATGGTTGTTAGTTCCTCAAGAGTTTGCTCAATCAAATATTGAGCCTGGTCGGACTTAGCAGCCATGTTCATCAATTCATCAAAGCTGGTTCGCAACATTTTATAACGGGCAAAACCTTCCAATTCGGAGTATTCTGGTCTGTGAATGTCTTTCACACTACATTTCCTTATATCTTTTTGTGTACCTCTCTAGGATGTATTGGGCTGGGATTCTTACTATGCACAAAGAATCAAGGACACATACAGCATGCCTGCATAGAATTCCTGTATACTCAAAATTCTTGCAGCTGCAATTTACGATGCCATTGGCTGACTCTGCATGAACTTTATGATAAGAGTAATGCCCAGGCTTTCTGACTTCACACTCAACAACGATTCCTCTGTGGTCGTAAGTTTCATCAACAACATCTGCAAAATGATATTCAGACTCCTTATATTCTTCCTGGAACATATCAACAGCTTCAGAAATATAAACATCTCTAGCATGCCTCAATAGAGGCGCATCAACAAGATCAGCATCTCTGTTCCTACCATCTTCAGAACCTTTTGCATCGTCAATGCAAGCACCCATTAACCTTCGTTTCCAGAAATCAAATAATTGGCAAGTTAGTGATATATAATCATACAAGGAACTTTAATTGTTAATAATATTGGCTAAGATTTTTTGGAAATTTGTATTCATATTTCGTCCACTATTAAAGAAAACAACAGAAAAAGTAAGACAATTAATTAGGTGCCCCCTCACTTAATGCTACACTATGGCTGAATATTAATTCGCCCATTCACACTTCCGAAGCCATCCAAGAAATATAGATGAGACACCAGAACACATCTCTTCTAGCCACAAACTCAAGAAGGAAAAATAACCCAAAAAAGATATAGCGAAAAAAGAACTAATAGTTGAACGAGAAAATCAGCAGTACAAATTGTCATGCCTGATGGTTAAGGTTTTTCTTCCTCAAAATTACAATGGGTTCTGATGTGATGCAGAAATAATCACGTCCAAAATTAGATACCTGTGATCTAAACTATTGTACTTCTCATGTTAAAACCTAGAAATTATTATAAATTTAATGTAAAATGTTTATAGCAGTCATTAGCCTACATTATGACATTGGTAATAAACCAGAATACTAAATTGCACTGGGGAAGAGCGACATTAATTGGTTTGTGGGAAATTGAAAGGTAATCTCTGATTTAGAAATACCTATAACTGGTCAGCTTGTAGAGGTTATTCAGCTGTCCCTCAGCTCTATGGCAATACAATCTTCAAAATCCCTTGGTTGAGTTATGATTCATACACCATACTTTCTACAAACTTGATAAGAATCCATACAAACATTTTTTTCTTTTTTAGTCATCATTAGGATGGTAACAATGAAGGGTGAGAGAGTATCTTTTTAGAAACTGTTTACACCAATGCAAAATAATAGCAAGTAAGAAATAATGCTTCATCTACCAAAGTCTACAGCTTTACTAAAACTTGATACTAATCCATAAGATTTGAAGCAAAAAGAACCAAAAAAACACCCAAAGTCTGACTGGATAAAAAAGTAAGAAAAGAATTCCGATGTCTACTTCCATCAAATACATAGCATAACCTTGTCAAGTAAGTGACAAAGTGTATAGTTTATAACTCAACTCCAAATCTTGTGTGTTTGCAAAGCAGAGTAGAACAGAGTTTCAGCTTGCCCATTCAATGATAAATATTGAATGAAAAACAGAGGCAAGGACAGGATTCAAAAATGACAGCAACATCTTGAATGAAACACATTTGTTACTGGCACCATAAAAATAATATCTTACCGGCTATTGTGAGAGCAAGGGGAAGATGATTGAAGTTGCTCGTAACTATCTTTGAGACAGCAATGTTCTTCCACAGGATCACACCTTCCTTTTTTTGTCCTCTTTGGTAAGTAATGTTCTGGGATCTTCTCAATGCGCAAGCATCTGAGAACTGTTTGTGAATGGCTGCATAAAATTCCAGAAATCTCGAAATAATTACAGCTGCAATTTATGATGCCATCACAGGGCAGTGCAGTAACTGTATGATGTCTAAAATGATGTCCAAACTTTTCAAGTTTGTATTCAAAGATCAGCCCTCTCGCATCAGAATCCTCCCAGACAACATCAACACCAAGTGTTCTCGACTTTTTATGTTCATGTTCAAACATATGAAAATTATTAGGCGAATAAACTTCCCTTGCATGCCTTAGCAAAGAATAAAGATGATCATCCATATCCTCTTCAGAATCTGTTGTATCATCACTGCTAGCAGCCACTGACCTTCAATGAAACAAAACAAATGATCAAATCACTAATAGTATGAGGAGAAAAACCAAGAGAGAGAGAGAGAGATTGTTGACAAACTAATCATAAAGAAAACGCTTTAAAATATATATGTTAATGAAAAGAAGCCAGATAGGACATTTAGGGGGTAAAAGGGTTCAAAAAGAAAATGCAATACCAAAATAGCCAGCTCTTCAAGCCTGAGTATACAAGCAAAGAGAAAACTTACTAACTGCCCCTATATCTCAACGGTTACATTAATACTCTCTTTATCAGCTAAAATACACCTTGACATCTGCCATTTTCCAAATGCAAGTACTCCATATGCTACTTAATCAGATCATTTGACTTTCAAAAGTAAAGCATGCATAACATCCATCAATTCTCTATCAAGTCACAAACAGCAACTAATGATGACTTGGACAACCCATGCTTGAAAATTTTTGACCCACTACTTTGTGCTCTGATTTTGATCTTTAAAAATCTGATATTAATTTCATTTATTTTTAGAGTCTTCAGTTTTTTTTACAAATATCTCCATTATGCATCAAATTTAGACATATTTTTCACAACAAATTTTACAATTCAATTCTGTGTAACCAACCCCACACATAGTTCTGATACTTTTAGATTAAAACATTCCAAACCATTCTTTTTCTTTTGAGTATTCTTTTTATATTCTGAGCAACGCTAAGGATACCATGACCCAAAAAGAAGCAACGCTATGGATACTGTGCGTGCATGATCCTGCACAATATAAAAAATATCGGGAACATGTCTCTCCCCTGGTGAACTTTGAGTGAGCCGGTTGAGTGGCCAAACACGCTACTTGACTCAGCCTGCAAGGTACGGTGGCAACCTGGAACGGCAAAAGAGGATCCTGGGAAAGGAAGAACGATCCTGTATGTCTGAAAGGTCTTCCTGAAATAAAGAGGAACAAGTTAGAAGGGTGCCGGAGTGTTTTCCGGCGTATCCCCTCCGACGATCTAGTCAGTCTTGGAATGAGAGAGAGGAAGAAGAAAACACTGAGAAAGTTCCGTATTGTAGTAGAGAGTTTGTGATTGCCTTCCCGCTTTGCCTTTTGGGAAGGGTATTTATACCTTAAAAGCTCATGATTGCTGTCAGTGTGGTCAGTAGGTGATCATCAGGCATAGGTAGCGTGTGTATGGATTCGATGAGGAATGTCTTCTCTAATTGACTGCTCGGGGTCCCGAGCAATCAATGCTGAGTCGTCGGGACGCCGACGGTACAATATGCTCATTTCGGGAAGGATGCAATAAATGCTCTGTAATAGGAGCATTTATTGCCTTTCATATCCGAACCTTACCGCATTGAATGCGGTCTCGTCAACAGAAGGGTGCAATTAATTGTTTGCTTTCCNGACAAGGTCATGATGAATAGTCTAGACCGGCATAGGCTGATGACCTGTACGTCCGTAGCTTTATTCGGGAGTAGAGGAAGCGTCCAGGACGGAGTGACTCTCGGCACCGAGGAAAGGATCACCTCGGGGACCGAGGGTGGTATGCTCCGAGGTACACGGGTGACCGAGGACACGTGTTTTGTTTGTATAATACATNAACATTCCAAACCATTCTTTTTCTTTTGAGTATTCTTTTTATATTCTGAGCAACGCTAAGGATACCATGACCCAAAAAGAAGCAACGCTATGGATACTGTGCGTGCATGATCCTGCACAATATAAAAAATATCGGGAACATGTCTCTCCCCTGGTGAACTTTGAGTGAGCCGGTTGAGTGGCCAAACACGCTACTTGACTCAGCCTGCAAGGTACGGTGGCAACCTGGAACGGCAAAAGAGGATCCTGGGAAAGGAAGAACGATCCTGTATGTCTGAAAGGTCTTCCTGAAATAAAGAGGAACAAGTTAGAAGGGTGCCGGAGTGTTTTCCGGCGTATCCCCTCCGACGATCTAGTCAGTCTTGGAATGAGAGAGAGGAAGAAGAAAACACTGAGAAAGTTCCGTATTGTAGTAGAGAGTTTGTGATTGCCTTCCCGCTTTGCCTTTTGGGAAGGGTATTTATACCTTAAAAGCTCATGATTGCTGTCAGTGTGGTCAGTAGGTGATCATCAGGCATAGGTAGCGTGTGTATGGATTCGATGAGGAATGTCTTCTCTAATTGACTGCTCGGGGTCCCGAGCAATCAATGCTGAGTCGTCGGGACGCCGACGGTACAATATGCTCATTTCGGGAAGGATGCAATAAATGCTCTGTAATAGGAGCATTTATTGCCTTTCATATCCGAACCTTACCGCATTGAATGCGGTCTCGTCAACAGAAGGGTGCAATTAATTGTTTGCTTTCCCAAAGCGCGTGTCAGTAACGGCGTGCCGTTCGTCTGTCTTTGATGTGACATCATTTGCCACACGTCCACCCCTTACTGGCTGTGATTACTGTATTCCGGCATGTTCTGACATTACTTGTGTAAGACAAGGTCATGATGAATAGTCTAGACCGGCATAGGCTGATGACCTGTACGTCCGTAGCTTTATTCGGGAGTAGAGGAAGCGTCCAGGACGGAGTGACTCTCGGCACCGAGGAAAGGATCACCTCGGGGACCGAGGGTGGTATGCTCCGAGGTACACGGGTGACCGAGGACACGTGTTTTGTTTGTATAATACATCGAATGCATGATTCTACGTGAGAGGTACCTCGGGGGGAGAGGACACTCTTTGCCGATGGTGCATAAATGCGAGTAACATTGTTCCAGAAACCCCGAGGACACCCCGAGGACACGTGTCTTCATCATAAGGCTTTTCAGAAGAGTCCCATCAGATACCTTGACCGATTACCATCGATAAAGAAGAAAAGGAAAAAATAATAATAAACAAAGCACAAAATAACATCATTTCTCAATTGTTCTACTTAGGAGGAAAAGAGGCTTACTGTTCCTTCTCATCATCTTCCTCTTCATGTTCTTCTCCGTCCTCTTCATCGTCGTCCTTATCATTGTCATCGCTTCCTCCATTGCCATAGGCATCAGCATCATCCTCAGAATCCCCTGAGCCATCATCACTCCCTTCCTCTCCAGACATATCATCATCATCATAATTGCCCTGATTACCATAATTAGGTTCTTCATTATCAGCACCATCCCTAAATTCACCAGCATTCTCACTTTCATCTACCTGGCATGGTTTCGGTACTTCATGATCAGGTGCAGATCTGGTCACCAAAAGAAATCAAAGAAGAATATTCTTTACAGTCGAAACAAACTCCATCACCACCAAAGCTTCCTTTACAGAGCACGAAGCAATTTCCGAAGTAACAGTTCGGGAGTAGAAATTCTCCACCATCATTGCAGTGAAGCTGCGGCGAAAGATGAGAGAGAATAAGAGCAGTGATCGAAAGCCCATCTACCAATGTAACAATTTTCAGCGGGAAGGCTCCATTTTTTTTGGCGCTCCGTTTTTTTATTCCCTCGCTCAATTATGTTTAATTACTTATTTAGCCTCCAAATTATGCTATTTTTGTTAATCAAGCCTATATATTATGTTTTATATTAATCTAACCCTTAAATCACACAATCTGAATTAATGTGACCCTTTTGTCTAAAATCACAATTAACTTTGACGAAATCTCTCACGTACATGTCGCGTGGGCCATAAGTCATAACTTAATTTCTGACTCACGTGTCATGCACATAATGACGGAGAGGTATCAATCATATCGTATTCGTGTGATCTATATATCATGTTCTTCGTGTCGTATTTGTGTCAAGATTCACAAAAAAAAAAAATCTATTTAGTGTATTTTGAGAATTAAATATTAGTCTAAACTATTTATTCTACTTATTTAATAATCGTATTAATTTTACAAACATTCATATTGAGTTCGTGTCGAATTCGTATCAACGAGTTAGAGTTCACACTCGTTGGCGGAGCCACAGGAGAAACAAGGGGCACAAACCCAACTTGAACTTGTTTTTAAAAAATATTAGTTATGTATATTTAAAATTATTATAGGCATACTCTTTTTTTTGGCTCATTATTATAAATATACATAACTTAAGTGTGTCCACTCTATTATTTTTTATTCTATTAATTAGTATAGTTATATAACTAAATAATTATGAACTTTTGTGCATACTTTAAATACTTTATGGATATATCTTGATAAATCTGTGATATGTCGCATTCATTTTTAAAGTTTTAGATATTATAAAAATTAGGTTAAATAATTTAATCAATGATTAATAGTTAATAGTTTGATTGGTTATATAGAAAAATACTATAATATCTTTTATGAAATTAGTCTCATTTATTGTGAAGGGTTATAATTAGTCCCTTTTTTATTTTTTATTTTGGTACGTTATATTTATCGGCGTTTGATAATTTTTTATTTTATGAATCTTTAGGTATCAAATAATACAATGCCATATTAAATATATATATATATTTATCGATTGGGAGAAAAAAAAATTAAAATTTGAGTAAATTGTCCACCCTACACAGAATTTTTAGCTCTGCCAATGCGTGTAGATGAGACTTTTGGTCAAAGTCAATGGTAAATTTTGACGAAAGATTCGCAGTAAGTCAAATTACATAGTTTAAAAACTAATCTAACACAAGATATAATTTAAGAGATTGATTGACAGATATAATATAGTTTAAGGGCCGATTAAATAGTTAACTCAAAAGACAACTATGACCCTTTCTCACTCCACTCTACACGCATCCAAGAACCAAAATTCTATTTCAACATATTATTTTGGTTACCTAGGAATATTTTGAAATATAACAAAAAATTAATAAAAATTTAACTTCAAAATATTTCAAACATATTGAAACAAGTTGAATCGTTAGTGAAAACATGTTGAAACACATCTGAACATTGAAATTTTAATTCAATCATAGATTTATTTAAATATTTTTAAAAATAAAACCATTTTAATTGGTTTCGATAATTGTATTTACCTTAGCCTTNTATTCTACTTATTTAATAATCGTATTAATTTTACAAACATTCATATTGAGTTCGTGTCGAATTCGTATCAACGAGTTAGAGTTCACACTCGTTGGCGGAGCCACAGGAGAAACAAGGGGCACAAACCCAACTTGAACTTGTTTTTAAAAAATATTAGTTATGTATATTTAAAATTATTATAGGCATACTCTTTTTTTTGGCTCATTATTATAAATATACATAACTTAAGTGTGTCCACTCTATTATTTTTTATTCTATTAATTAGTATAGTTATATAACTAAATAATTATGAACTTTTGTGCATACTTTAAATACTTTATGGATATATCTTGATAAATCTGTGATATGTCGCATTCATTTTTAAAGTTTTAGATATTATAAAAATTAGGTTAAATAATTTAATCAATGATTAATAGTTAATAGTTTGATTGGTTATATAGAAAAATACTATAATATCTTTTATGAAATTAGTCTCATTTATTGTGAAGGGTTATAATTAGTCCCTTTTTTATTTTTTATTTTGGTACGTTATATTTATCGGCGTTTGATAATTTTTTATTTTATGAATCTTTAGGTATCAAATAATACAATGCCATATTAAATATATATATATATTTATCGATTGGGAGAAAAAAAAATTAAAATTTGAGTAAATTGTCCACCCTACACAGAATTTTTAGCTCTGCCAATGCGTGTAGATGAGACTTTTGGTCAAAGTCAATGGTAAATTTTGACGAAAGATTCGCAGTAAGTCAAATTACATAGTTTAAAAACTAATCTAACACAAGATATAATTTAAGAGATTGATTGACAGATATAATATAGTTTAAGGGCCGATTAAATAGTTAACTCAAAAGACAACTATGACCCTTTCTCACTCCACTCTACACGCATCCAAGAACCAAAATTCTATTTCAACATATTATTTTGGTTACCTAGGAATATTTTGAAATATAACAAAAAATTAATAAAAATTTAACTTCAAAATATTTCAAACATATTGAAACAAGTTGAATCGTTAGTGAAAACATGTTGAAACACATCTGAACATTGAAATTTTAATTCAATCATAGATTTATTTAAATATTTTTAAAAATAAAACCATTTTAATTGGTTTCGATAATTGTATTTACCTTAGCCTTGTTTGTATCAAAGGTACCAAAGCAAATAAATCAAAGCCGCTGATTTTCCATGATTGTAATTGTGGAGGAAGGAATAATAAAAAGGGACAAAAGATTATTAAATTCTTTCCCAACCAATAACCAACTTAACATAGCTTTATTTCCTTTGGTTGGTGGGGATACTTCATACCATCAAGCTGATCTGTGACCTGAAGAGGGTACAGGAAAGGAATCCTAGTTGAATTTGATCAAGCCATGCTACAACAATAATCAAGAATTCTGCAGCATTTCAGACAAAATCTCGGGTTTTTTAAAGTGCTCATACAGATGCTAATCTGGAACAGAGCAGGCAACAAGTTCAGTCTATTGTGAAAAAATTCTCATACATACACAGACAGCTCTAGACTATTTAAAATTTGGTGACAACCACACTTTATGCCCAGATAGCCTAGTTAATGTAGGCCTCCAATTAATGAGGTATCTGGTCAATCATCTTTTGTTCCTCCACCTGCATAAACCAATTCAAAGACCAGAACATAGATAGCCAAAGGTTAGAGGTGCTGGACGATCCACTTATTGCTTGTATCTCAACTCTCCGTTAGCCCTCCAGAGGAAAAACTGATTAGCATTTCCACTCGTCTTTTCGTCCCTAGGTGCTGCTAATGCTAGAAAGCATTTCACTGTTTTCTGAATCACTTCCAAAGTTTCTTTCCCGTGCTGGTTGAGTAGGGGAAGCTCTTTGCTCGGCTAAATTTAAACGTAAAGGCCGGCCTTCCATCTCCTAATTGCATATTTTCAGAGGATATAAACAGAAGTTTAAACAAAAACATGATTAGATGGTTTTAGAACTACTAAATACAGTCGCCAACTGAGTCTTACCACTTCATTCATGGCATTGAGGGCAGCTTCCACTTCCTCAGCAGATGCAAAAGTGACAAACCCAAAACCTCGGGATCTTCCCGAATCCCTGTCATAGATGACCTTTGCACTCTGCAGTCCTGGCTGGTCTGCAAATGCTTCTCTAAGACTCTGGGAAGTAACATCCCAGCTAAGGTTCCCTGCATAGATTTTGTGAGGGCTATCTACAAAGCGCTGGTAGCTCCCTCGTATCATTGGTCCCATTACTTCTCTTTCACCTCCCCTTGGCACCTCTGGGAAGTTCACCTTCACAGTTCGACCTCCGACTTGCTGTTGACCATGGCCGCAAAATAACAATAATCAAGAAAAGAACACATCTCAATTACTTTCAAGATAGATCATTTATTGTAAGCATTAAACTAAAAGCTCATACATTTATTATATTCTTGCTGAAACTAGTAACAATATTGCATAGGTGAAAATGAAAAAAGACACTTTATCTACGAATGATAATGTCATAATATGTTCCTTTTTCCAATTTTTTTTCTTTTTCTATTTTTGTTTCAACAATGTGCCATTTTTTGACAGTTAGGGAATCTCAATTACCAAACCCAAGCCACCATGTCCCTCAAAGAAAGTTTTCCCTCCCTTATCTCTAATGTTCTATATAAATCCCACAATTGCAAAAAGAATTACACCATAGATGTTAAAATTTCAAACTTCAGCCATTGTAGAGCAACATTGCATGGTACAAGCAGCAAGCAGAGAACTGAGAATTTGCCATGCTATGTGAATCTTGTATACTTAAGGTCTGAGGGCAGAGAAGTTTTATAATTTTACTGTGAAGTGTACAAATCCAGAAAATAAATTACTGTCCACCACGAAGCCAGAACACTGATATGAAAAGGAAAATGATTGGACAGCATATTTTAAATTTTCACTTTCACCCTCCAAAATCCTTTAAAGTTGTGTACAAATTATCTAGCAATTACCATAGGAACCAAAGCCTGTTTGTTATTAGAAAGCATAACAGGCAAGATCCAGCAAGCATCCAACCATCCTTATGCAATATTATTCATAATATATATGCCCCCCTGTGGATTAATAAGCATGACCTTAACCAAGAAACCAATGACACCGGACAAATATATGTGGGATGGTCTTTAAATTTATCATGTGCAAACAACCAGCAGTTATGCAGTGTCTTAGTTTCAGAGTGTTGTCTTTTACTCTGGACACATAGGTTTTCAATATTTCAGAAAACGTGTATGTCCATGAAGCACCATGTCTATTATGATGTTTCTGAAATCTCACGCTAATCTCCCAAATCCTTTAACCATGTCTCACGATATTCTCCACTTGCAATTTTTTTTTTTAAATCTGTAGTATAATTTAGAATCCGCTGACCCAAAAACATTGGGACAAGACTTTGTTTTGATGAGTTGGGTATAATTTAGAATCCACATTCACCAACAGCACTTCAAAAGGGCATAGTGGCTATTAAAGAAGTGACCTCCATGTCAAACCGTGACCTCGATTTATCTTCTCTATGTATCTTCTCTATTCTTAAGTCTGCTTTCAATGCCTTATATGATACATCCTATTTCTTAAAGTATTCCAATACAATCCAAAGCTAAAGACTAACAGAAGATAATGCCAAAGAAAAGCAGGATATAGACTCGAACAAAAGAAAGCACACACTCTTATATATCATTGAAACTAGATCCTTCCTTACTACACAAATGACATGGTGGAATCTCAAAGTCAAAATCCTCGTCCCACACGTTAAAAGACATGTAAGAATGACAATGATCAGGTATAACTATAGCATAAATGAGAGTGTCACTTACAGAACCATCAAACATCACAATGGCCTCCTTTGCTTCTTCAACACTTCCCATCGTAACAAATGCAAATCCGCGGCTCCTGTCCGTAACTCTATCATAAACAATCTTAAAAACAAACAAACAAACAATTTCAAAAACCCCAAATCAATATAGCCACCACAATTTAGCATTCCAATGTATAAAAAAAGACCCGAAAGAAAGTTATATTTAGAGAATCAAGCACAACCCAAAACGAACCTCCACAGAAACAACACGACCGGCTTCCCCAAAAACCTCTGCCAATTGAGAAGAAGTCATTGCATATGGCAAATTGCCCACGTATAGCCTACCAGCCTCAGCTGATTGTGACTCAACAGCTTCACCCTCTTCATCTTCTTCTTCTTCTTGATCTGTTTCGAGTGGTTCTGTGTTTTGGATGAATTCATGGCTGTCAAATGCTGCTGAGGCTCGGAAGATTAGGGAGTGAGAGAGGAGAGAGAAAGGAGGGCGATTAGGGAATTGGGTTTTGAGTTTTGGAGGTTTAGTGGGCTTTGGTTGAAATGTGAAGTGGTTGGGGCTTGAGAGATGGGAGAGTTTGCAGGAAAGAGGAAGCGAAGCCGAAGAAGAAGAAGAGAAGGCAATAGAAGCGACAGTTGCAGCCATTGAGAGAGAAGAAGCTGACATTTTTAATCAACGTAATGTACTGAAAATCATTTCTGGTGGGTTCATTAGAGAGGGATATCTGAGAAGAAGAAGGATTGAAAGAGCGAAGCGAAGGGGGATAAGGTTGGGTTTTTGCTGAGGGGCCGAGTGTGACCTTCCAGTTCCAACTGATCTGACGCACTTTCACTATTTTTTTTTTAAGTATTATATTTCCATTTTTTTTTTATAAGAGAAGAATTATATTTCCAAAAAATAGAAGGATTAGGATAATGTTAGTTGAATTTAATTTATACTCCACGTCAGATAGTCTTTGGGTGCGTGAGTAATACATAAGTCTTCTCATGCCCTTACTCTAATAGAGTAAGTGATTAGTGTTAAATTAAAAAAAAATGAAACAATCGTCATTAAGGCGTTCAGTGATCGGACTTGACTTCCCTTCTTTTTGAGATAGGTGTCTCTGGAGCCATGATAATAGTGCTCGGGTGGTGGGGGCTGGGATATCTCACATCAGATAGTCTTTGGGTGTGTGAGTAATATATAAAGTGGTTAATTCTTGATCAAAAAACTTTATTTACACTAACTTTATTTGTTGATGCAATCACTTATCGCCCTTATGAGACCATATTCAATAGAAACTCAAATTCTTATTTAAATTTAAATAAAAATATAGTAAAAATTTAGATTTGGTATAAACATTTTTAATAGAAAAAACTCTAATTTACATGAAGAGAAATTTAAATTTAAAAGATGATAAAATATAATTATTGGATTTTTAAAAGAGAGTGAAATATCACCATTAAATATTTGAGTATAGATATAGATTTTCCTTGATTATAGATCTAGAATTTGAGAAAAATTTTAGAAATTTTTTTTATTTAAATTTAAATTTAGGTATAAAAAGAATAAGAATTAGAGATGCTCTTTGTAAACTATGTGAGGTCGAGCAATATTTGACTATTTGGATATTGCAATGTGAGTCTATCAAGAGGTATTTTGAACTTCATTATATTATAGGCTATCTCATATCGAATAGTTTAGGGTGTGTGTGTGTTAATATATCCCTCTGTTAGAATCAGTGGTTAGGTTAGAATAATTTTAAAAAAAAATCATCGCTCTTCTATTGGGGCGTTCGGTGTTGGCCTGGAATCCCACACTTTGGGCTAGAGGCCCTGCGATAATGGTATTCACGGCGGGGTGTCGAGGGACTGGGCTATCCCACATCAGTAGCTTCGGGTGTGTGTGTGTTAATATATCCCCCTACCTAGCCCTGGCTCTGTTAGAATTAGTGGTTAGGTTAGAGTAATTTCAAAAAAAAAAAAAACTTCATTATATTACACTTGCTTTTTCAAAATGAAATTAATTTATTTACTTAAAAAAAAACCAATATAGTACACATTTACAGAGAGATTTAAGGGATATTTGAACATTGAAATGTTTATTTCATTATTTAGTTTTATTGAAATTTGATATTTATTTTATTTTAATGTACTAATTTCACTATAAAATAAAAATATAACAGTGAACTAGGAGTTTTTTCTTGAAAGTAGAATTTTGAAAGCAATTTTTTGTGAAAATTTTGGCCAATGAACTAAGAGTTTCTTGTTATTGTATGGATTAAAATTCTAAAATGTTTTTTCAATTTTTTAAGTTCACTTTTTTTTTTATATGTGTTTATCAATTCAAATAAAATGTCTTCTTAAATTATGAATATCTAATGAATTTTATTAATTAAATACAATTTATTTACGTTAATTATATTTCAGTTCACCATCTTAATTGTGTGTGTGAGGGTACGAATGATAGAAAAGAGAAAAATAAATTTAAGAATGAGAGAAAGAAATTTAAGTAATGACCTTAATTAAGGATAGTTTTGTTAGGTTCTAATTTTATGGACCATTGATCTTAAAAGTGTTCATGCTGGGTCCAAAAAATTCACAAATGTAGACTTCTAGCATGTTTTTCCTAATTATAAATAATTAAGTCAACACGATTAATTCAAATAACATTTTTATAATAATATTAGCCATGTACCTCAAAGCTGCTTTCATCGGATCTGGATAGGAGATTAGTCGAGATACGTATAAATTAACCCCGACACACCTAACCGTTGAAGTAAGAAAAAAAAACTCAAAAGTTCAAGCACATGTATGCCCCTGTTCCATAATAATACTACTAAACTAACGAAAAATAAAAGAAACATAGTAACCAAATGGTACGAAAAACTATAGCATAGTTGTGATTTTAATCTTATTTTTACTAATTTAATATTTAAATTTTACTCATAATATTAATCTTACATTATTTAATTCTTTTTTAATTTTCGATCAACATAAAATTATCCTTGATAAGAAGGATTGATCTCTTCTTTTGCATGAGTGTAAGATTGAATCTCCCCATGGGCTAAAACCTTAGATTTCATTAGTCGTTGATTTAATAATAATTGAACCTAATTAAACTTTTAAGTTACAAGTTCGAATTTCATCATCCTCTTCTTTATAATAATAGTTGACAAAAGAAAATAAGCACACATACTCTCAAGTCTAAAGTTATGTCTAACCATGAAGACAACTTATTAATCATAAATCTTTTAAAAATTAGAACTAGAGGTAATCCCACCTTATACCCTAAACAGATTTAAGTTTTTTTTATTTTATATTCTTAAATATGAAATGTTTTTTATATTGTACCCTCAATGTATTGAAAATGTTATAATATGGTACTTCTATTAGTTTCCGTTGTTTATTATTTCAAAATTCACCTTATTGATGTTAACAGAATGAATAACATAAACTAATGAAAAAGTATTTTTTAAGGTGTAAAATACAATTCGTCCTTAGAACTATGGTGATATAAACCAGTGTGTTTGGATAAAGGGATTGAATAGGATAGGATTTTATTTTTTATATCCTAATCCATCCAAGCCAAACCCTCTCACGCACTTTAAAATCCTAACCTTTGTTCGGGAAACAAAGGTGTAATTCAGTGGGCCCCATATGTTACATAAATAATTTTGTAGTGATTTACCATTTTACTTATGACTCTATCCATTCGAATCCAAACTAATTATATCCTATGTTTAAATTGGTGAATTATCCTAATAAAATTATACATTTTCCGCAAATACATAAAAATATATAAAAATAAAATAAATTTTTTTTTAGGAAGGTTAACCATTTTTTTTTTCAAACAAATCAACACTTTATTTCATTTCTTAAAAATTGATTTCAACTGGGAGAAAGGATGAAATCACATGAATCAGAAGAAATTAATAAAACCAAACACAATGGAGAGAAAAGTACTGTGAAGGAATGCTCTTTCAGTTTGGCCAAGACTCGTTTCAAGTGAACTTTAAACCATGACAAACATAGAACAAAGGGTGTGTGTCAATTATGAATTTAGAGTACCTACAACAGGTCCTTTGTAAAGCTGTGCTAAATTTCGTTACATTTTTTTTTAAAGAATAGAAACATTTTATTGATAGAAAAAACAATTACAAGAATCAAAGAATAAACTGTTTTGAAAAAAATACAAGCAATGGCTTTAATCCTTCAAGATGATTAAAACCATTTTTAACTACATTTTTGCACCTCCTGATCTTGATAACCCGGCTCCTGGATCTTTAATCAACCCCCAGACAGCTCCTGATACAGAGACAATCTGCCATATAATAGCAGAACACCATTGATACTGAAAAACCTCTCTGTCCAAGCTGCAGTGCCTGCACTCCTCCTCCTTGCAGATGTGAATTGATCTAACTGCTCATACTGAGCAAAACATGGCATACTTCAATTGTAGACAATCCTGTAATTATATCAAATCTACAACCATGATTAATAATATTTTAATAAAAAAGGACTATAAGAATAACACAGTAGTAAGACAGTTCACAACAAGCAACATTTGTGCATGCATATTAAGAATTAAAAAGAGCAGCTTCTTCGACAGTTGGTGGATTGTACTCTCCTCCTCCGTCCATCATAGAGCAGCTTCACAAACACAAAGTCAGAAACAACAAACAGAAAGCTAGTGTATAGCAAATGGCATATTTTTGTTGTTATTAACTTCACATAGACAACTGACTAGGACCAGAGTTTCAACACTGCCTGAGTTTCACAATCATCCAAGAAGTCCCTAGGAAAAAAAAAATTGAACATCAGCAAGTCTGAGACTTAGATGGATAAGTTGAACATCAAGGCCAGGTAATTGAAGAGAGTATCCAACTCAGCTATTATGAATCAATCTGGTCACGGGATTACAGGTGGCAACACAATGCAAACTATGCAATATTTCTTAGACCTATGAAAAGCCAAATTTCTTAATTCCGAGTCCTAATCACATTCTCAAACATTGACAAAGTTTCCAGTAAAATTCAAGGAATAACCACAGAGGTATATCGACGACATTTGAAGACCCTTGAATGGCCTCTTAATAAGTTTCCAAATTGCAGTCCATAACAATCTTCCCCTTCTTTGAGGATTCGGAACAACAATTTTTGAAAACAAAAGGAAACATATCCTAATGTCCTCATAATCTTTCCTCAGGTATCTAAACAGAAAATCCAAGCATTGTCATTGCATAACTGAAGTTCCCATCAAATTAATTGGATTTCCATTTTCCATTCATCAAAATGCTTGAGTACATAAATACCCATTAATATCTTAGCATGAAATTTTGATAAACCTGCAAGGATTTCTAGCAATACGTGTGTTATTTAAGAATGAAACAACTAACGTCCGAATCAAACAACAAACTTCTATTCTATCTGAAACCCAATTTTCCTGTTGATTTACATAGCACGAAACCCAAAAGAAGAGAAGTGTGCGTGAGCTCTAGTAAGTGCATTTTCTCACATTTCATCAGAATAGAAAATTCAACAAAGACAGCCCAAGAAATGAACACCCATTTGTGGGTATTGTACTGATTACATGATCAAACATTTTCAGTGGCCATGCAATAATAGATGAGCATAAATGTTAACACATTGACGAATATTAGTACCTACTGAGCTCAGTGCTGTGAAGAAGAAGCTGTGTTCTTCGTTCTGTCCAGCGATGTCGTCTTCTTCGTCGATTCTGTGCGAACCCTTGGACGAGCTCTCACCCACAGATGCAGAAAATTAGAGGACCTCCCCAACGCCACGATCGTCTTCGCCTCTGTGCGAACCCTTGGACGAGCTAAGATTACAGGAGAAAGAGAGAAGAAGACGACACAGATGCAGATGTAGAGGAATTCGTCGCTGAGAAGGTGGAGAAAGAGAGAGGGGCAAATACGTCTTGGGGTGTAGCCCATTGCCTGGGTCTGTAACCCGGGGGGGCTGGGTTATCTGAGACCGACCTGTGGGGGTTAAAGAACTGTAGTAACCGGATCAAGCATATACCCGGGATTTGTAGCCATCCTCAAAAATGCTTCCCAAACAAAAGTTACATGAGTCCCACTCCTATTTTATCCTATCCAACTAGTGGATAACCTCCTTTATCCCCCTACCCAAACACCCCCAAGGGATTAAACTAGTGGTTCAAGGGTCACTTGGTAAGTATTTTAACTTGGTACTGGTCAAGGGTTCGAAACTTATTAGGCGCAAACACTCCTTGGGGCCACTGGTCCTAGATTTACCCTCTACACGTGGAGAGCCAACTTTGCGTGTGGGTCCAGCATTAGTCCGGCCAGAATGATTGGGATAGCTGGAATTTAAAAAAAAAAAAAAAACTATGGTGATATAATATTGAGAACAGTACAACTACCCTGAGGTCCAAGAGACCAGCTTTTAATTTAGATTTACCACGAGTATGCGTTATGAAAATAACTTGATCGAACGTTATTTAAGATTAAAAAGACCGTTTTTTTTTAAGTTCCATGATTAGGATTATTTAAACTAATTTACGTATTTCGACTCTGTTCTTTAGTTAGGGTCAAAAGTTGGCTAATCATGTCGGAATTAGGGTATTCATGAGCGATATGTATTTTAAGTGGGTCTGATATCTAAGTGGGTCAAGTGTTTTGATGTCCTGAAATTTTGGACCGGGCAGGGCCTGAGTGTGGCCCATGGATTGGCCCAGCCCTAAATATATACTTGCATAAATTTATAATTTGAAAGTGTAAATAAAAAATTTTAACCTAAATTAAGAAAATTCGGATGCATTAAGTAGATATATAGATGAAAAAAGTGCTTATAAAAAAAAATTAACGACAACTCACGTGCTCTGCGCATGACAATTGTTGTGTTATTTCGGTCGTAAAATTTACTTTGGATTATTGGTGGCTCCCAAGATTTGATAACGCTTCAATCTCTCCCTTGTCTTTCTTTCTCTTTTTATTGCACGTTATATCTTTTTCTCTTTTTACTTTATCTCTAATTTTAAAAAAATGACACGTCACGTTCAACAGACCTTCCAAAAACGAATTGCATACCAAAACCGCTCTCCCATTCGGCTCTATATAATAGAAAATATTTATATCACTTCGAGTAGACGTCGGGAATAACAGAGAAAAAGTTTTTAGGCGATTGAAAGTGATATTTGTTTGTTAATTTTATAGGTCTTTGTCGTACACTACTTAGCTGTTTTTTTTTTTTTTATAGTCTCATACAATGACAAAATCAAGATATGTTACGTGAAACTGTTTCGTTTATTCATTTTGTAAGTGATTTGATTCTCATTTTAACTTATAAAAAAATATCTATTTATGTGTTAACCATTTTCACGAAAAACAAAATTTACGGGCTTATGTTTATTCATTTGCTACATTTTTCTTAAATTTTTCTCTACTTTTCCTAACTCTATTTGAAATTTGTTGATGATTGTTCTTAGGTATGGTGATTGTATTCAAATGAAAAGCTAGTTGATTCGATTAGTTGTGTAAGTAGGCCATGAAGAAACTTCTTGATTCGATTAGTTGTGTAAGTAGGCCATGTAGAAACTTCTTGATCTTAGAGGGTAGTGGATGGTGCTTTGTGACACATCTTGAAGCCAAGATGGATATTCGGATTCTCGGTAGTTGGATCGAACTTTAGAAGGTTAGATTAAATCTCAACCATTGAATTCGATCGTATTTTATCTTTATTTATTAGTACATTAAATTCATTGATGGAAAGATAATAGGAAATGGAAGGAAGCTTTGAACATTGTCATGTCCATCAAAATATGGTATGTGATATGTGGAAGAAGTATATGATTGAAAAAACAAGAGGGAAAAACGTAGTTTGTATATCCTTTATTTAGAAGTGTCAAAATATGATACGATTTGTTAACGCGGCATGGGAAAGATACGAAATTAGAGAGTTCAGATCTTTTTTGAGTCACCCATTTAATAAACGAGTGGACCCAATACGACACGATTAATAAATGAATTGGTTATATAAGCAATTCCAATCAGAAAAATATACGACACGAATCATTTATATATGAATTATACACGACACAAACCATCCTCACCCAACACGATTGACAAACCTACATTTTTAAGGTCTCTAATGAAATAATAAGGTAAAAAGTCAATAATTAACTATTACTTATCTTTTTTGTTTAAGAAGTTTATGTGAAGACCAAGAAGTGACTAGACAGATATGAGAGAAAAAATTCATCCAAAATTTCATAATACTCTCGATAATTTTATCGGATCTAATAAAATTTTTTTTAATTCCTCAAACAACTATTTTGTCCCTAGAGAAAGACCATGAAGTTGGGTTAAAATCCAGAGGAAGAAATCGAATCAACACAATTGCACGATTAAAGTTGTATAGTCAAAATTTGATCGCATCACTTGTGTACCGGAGTATAAGTTGTTTACTCTTAGTTCCTCTTTTAAGACGATTTGGTTGGTGGGTCCCTCTCCTATTCAGTGTGTTTAAGTTGCTTAGATATGTAGATTTTCTGTGTCTTTTATGTGTATGCCTTAGTCCAAAAAAAATAATACGATCTAGAAGTTCGTATAATTGAGTGCGACTGAATCTTGAACGCATGTTTTTCATTGAGCAATAGTATTGAGTCGAATTTTTAACCTTTCAAGTTTGATCCAACTTTATTGAGGGCAAATTTGTCATTTCAATGTTCAAGGTTTTTAGTGATATCTAGTTCAGAATTATTTTGTAACGAGAGTATTGTGAAAATTTGGTGACTAATTAATTCTCTCCTTATTACTCTCTCTCTTATTGTGCTGATAAACTCAGATAGCCAAAAAGGATAAGTAATAATTAATTATTGACTGCTGACTAGACATGCCAATTGTATCGGATGAGTTAGATTCGTGTCGAGTTTTAATGACATCGTATTGAAAAAATAATTTATTCATATTTAATTCATTTATTAATTCGTATTTAATGAGTCGTGTTATGTCCAGTTTGTGTTTTGCATAAATCGTGTATAACTAATATATAAATTAATCGCGTAATTATAAAATAAAGTAATATACTTGACCAAGATAAAGTTTTATTTTTACTTTTTTTATTAAATATACGTCTTTTAAGCGATAATGTTATTTGAACCAAATTTATTAGCGTAATCCATCGATGTCGTTAGATAGACGGTAAATTCAAAATTCAGTATTAAAATCCATTGCCAACCTATCAACATCAAATTTGGTCGCTCAAATTCGACCCAAATAACATTAATATTCTTTCATTTATACATATCCTATTTTGATGGACATTACATTATTCAAAATTTCCTTTTATGTTGAATTATCTTGTCATGGGTGAATTTTAATGTAGGAATAGATAAAAGACTAAAATAAGATTCAATCCAATGGTGGAGATTTAATCTCAAAAAGTCTTCATTCAACATCAACAAAATTCTTTTAATCTTTGACTGGAGATTTTAATATTTGGCATGCCTTTTTTTTTTTTTTTGAACAATGGAACCCACAAACCACTCACACTGGGTAATTGCAGAGCCTACCTAATTAGGTTACATTTTTCATTACTGTTGCTTATCTGTAGATTAATCCTATTTGGACCAAATTTATTGACTAAATCTATTATTATCATTGGATTATTTTTGAGTGCTGCTATGGAACGGTTCTACTATCAATCTAATGATAATTAAGAGGTGATTTAGTCGGTAAACTTGGTGAATGATTTTGTCAAAGTAACGTTATTGTTATGTATTTTGAGTAATGTTGTTCGGGGCTAACTTATGATTTTGTCAAAGTAACGTTATTGTTATGTATTTTGAGTAATGTTGCCCGGGCCTAACTTATTAATCTAATTTGTTGGTTAACTAAGACAATATTTACAACCGTTGGATTGTCATTGGACCCCATCTAATATTAGGATTTATTGCTAATTCTAAAACTGTAGTGAATTGAGTTAGTAAATTAGACAACAAATTAAATCCAAATTACCTTATACATCATTTCATCCACTATAAATACCACCAAGCTCTTAAAATTAAAACACACCCAAAAAGAAAAGAAAAGAAACATTAGATATGACAAGGAAAAAGGTTGTGTTGGCAAGAATTGCCAATGACAATAAGAGAAAATCCACACTTAAGAAGAGGACAACTGGGTTGTTCAAAAAGGCAGAAGAGCTTTCTGTCTTATGTGGTGTGGAAACAGGTGTATCTATTTTTAACCACAGTGAGAATGAGACAAAGTCATGGCCATCTGATGAAGCCATGGGAGAAACCTTCAGAAGGTTTGATGGCATACCAGAGATGGAAAGGAACAAGAAGATGGTGACCCTTGAAGGCTATCTAGCTGAAAAGGTAACCAAATCCCAGGAGAAAATAAACAGGATTGAGAAGGAAAACAATGACAAAGAAATGCAACATGTCATGAACCAGCTCATTAAGGGTAAGACCTTGCATGAGCTTGACATGAGAGAGTTAAAGGGTATGCTTGCATTTGCAGCTGAGCAGATGAGCAAGCTTGAGAAAAGGTCTGAGAATTTGCAGAAGCAAGAAGCTGATACTGCTGGTGGTAGTAGTGGTGCTGGTAGTAGTAGTGGTGCTGCACCACCACCACCGCCTCTTCCTCTTCCTCTTCTTTTTCCTCCTCCTCCGTCTTCTTCCTCTTCTCAGCCAGCACCATATCCTCCTCCTTACTTTCAGCTTCCACCACTTCCTCCTCACTACTCTAATGTCCCACCACCTCAACCATACTTCCATCCCCAACCTTCTCATCCTAATCCTTATCTCCCAGCAATACCACCTGTTCCTCACTTTGCACCAATGGAGGAGGCAAATTCAGCTCCACCACCGCCTCCTGATCCTTTCACTCAATTTGCAGCACTGGGTGAAACCAGCCAATCTGCTCTGCCACCACCACCAACGTTTCCTCCTCCTCCTCCTCAATTTCCAACACTGAATGAACCAGTCCAAGCTCAAGGCAGTGGTGTAAACATTGCTAACATTCCAACATCCATGCAGCATTTTGCTAATGACAACTGGTTCATGGAGACAATGTTTCAGCACCAAAATCTTCCTGGTCCTAGTGGAGTGAGTGACATGGGACAGCCATCAGAGTTTGCTACAGACACCAGTGGTACTAAGAAAAATGAAGATCAAGACCCAGACCCTAATGACCCCAGTCAATCATGGCCTAAATTTTTCTTCCCTTGAAATGAAGTTTCTCAAGTGATTTAGTTTTAGAGCAATGCAACCTAGATTTAAAAAATTGACTTGATTTGTTGGTTTCATCAATTATAATCATTGAATAGGTAGCGGGTTTTAATAAAATATTGGTATTCACAAATAAATCAATGACGATGGTGATCAAGTCAACAAATCAAGTTAGTTTTTTAAGTTCATGTATCATTGTTCTTAATTTTATTTATGTTTTCATTTGAAAACCCTAGTTTATGGATCTTCCAATGTATTTTAGGGTTTTCTTTTATGTTGCTGTTAGATTTCAATGTTTCTTTTTCTATTTCAATTTTGATCAGTTGCCATTATTCTCAAATGGATTGTGTGTAACAAAATATGTCCGAGCGTTTTTACATTTTGTCATTCCAACTCGTACAATCAAATCCTAGGCCAGATAGAGGAGGAATGTTGTGCTAAATAACTGACGCGAGAGTGAAACTTTTTAAGGTCTAATATCAACCAAATGAACTACATGTTGCAAGAATTATGGTAAGAAGAACAAGAAGGCAAGCTCTAGAGATGGAAACAACATTAATTTTTATCAAAAAAGATGAAGAAAACCAAATTATAATGCAATATTGAAAAAAAACTTTGCCCTATTAGTCAAATTCGTTGTGCATCTTCTTCCAGTCTTAGGATTCAAACTTTCCCGCGTAAATGCATGGGATCGAAACAGAAAAAACTGTACTCAATAGTCCAGTTCCATGCGCGCATCGCCTTATCATCTAATTGTTTTATCATTTATATTACATTTACGTATTCTTAATGATTGCTATCAATATAGAAAGAACCCTTGTCATTCCATCTCCTCTCGCACCTAGCTTGTTGTTTTGAAAGATGATATTCATCACTCTGTTGCTTAAATGCAATCAAGATCAAGGCCTGATCGAGTTATGAATCATTCGTATTGTAAAGGTTCAAAAGAGAAGTCATTTTCATGAGTAATGGACAAGTTTAAGATTGTAATTCCCATCATTATTTATGGTGGATGTGACCAAAAATGAAAGAATAAATACAAGTTGAAATTAGGATTTTCGTTCTACTGCTCCATAGAAATTATTATTATTATGGTGTATAGGGAATAGATATAAGTAATGTTAACAATGGAATATAATTATATGGTACGATTTATAAATTAAGAACTACTTATATTATATCATGTGTTATTACTAATCTAATATCACCGTTATACCTCATCCCCAACCCTCCCCCCCCACAAAAAAAAAAAATAATAAAAAAATTCACCGTTATACGAATAAGTAGTAGCCAAGAATGGTCAAAAGACATATTTTTGAAACAAAATAATAATTAAGAAACCAAATCTCTATACAAAGTGTGATAAATAATGAATCTTTACAAGGTAAATTAATAGATAGCCTCTAAAAGGAAAAAAGAAGAAGTTAGACAGCATTACAAGATAGATTCAAATTTCAAATCTATATGATAAAGTAGTTTATAATTTAAATTTAAAAAATAAATAAAATAACTTTTATTTTTTAGGGTTCAAATCGCTTTAAATTTTACTTTAAAGTTAATCTAACGGCTAATATTAACACCCTAAATTTAATAGGAAAAATAAGCCCCTAAGAATGTGTTTGGAACGACTTTTTAAAGTACTTCTATGAATTATTTCTGATAAGTACTTTAAAAAAAAATAGTATTTAAAACCGTCCCACTATTAGCTCTATCACCACCACCACTACCATTACCTTTATCACCACCGCCACAGCCACTATCACCACCACCACCGTCATCGCCACTGCCGCCGCCACCGCCCCCACCCTCACCACCACCACGGTCATTGCCACCCATTATAACCATCATCGTCTTCTACCACAACCACTGTCGCCCACCACCTCTCACCCTCACTATAATCGATGCTTAAACTCATTTATCTTTCCTCTATGTTTATGATTTAATTTTGAATATTAATACAAATATATTTATTGTCTATCATTTTTTATTACTTTATACTTTCAAGTACAGACAATAGGTAGTTCATTTATATAGCAAATGAGTTATTACTGTCTTATTTCATATACCAATGCTTTCCTTTTGTAATTGAATGCTAGATGTTTACGTCTAGATTGCGAATACGTATAATTTTTCTTTGTCAATTACATGTTGAGAATCATCCATCCCTGGCAGGAGGAATGTATCTATTGGAAATATTAGTGTTGGTTTGTAACGATTTTTAAATAATTTTAAGCAAAAATGTAATTTCGTCAAATAAGTAAAAACTATTTAATTATTATTTTACAAAAGTAATCTAATTTTGAGGTTAACAGCTAGCTTAATGGTCATTGTATTACGGTTGAACTTTAAGATCGCAGGTTCAAACATCGTCTTCCCTGCAATGATATCGGACCAAAAAAGAAAAACTGCAAGTAGTCTTGAGTTAGACCAAGGCTAGGCCCCAAGTGAACCCTGCAGGCATAGTGATTTTTGTTTTTTGCCTTTTTTTTTTAATAAAAAATCATAGCAGTTTTATAATAATCTTAAAGAAGAGTTGGTCGTCATAATCAACAAGAATTTTAGTTAATATTTCAAGGTCTCGAAAGAATTTTTAATTGACTCAATGCACATAGTTTGCAAGTGATTTTACATAGCCCAAATTTATATCACCACGGGTCCTGACGATAATTCTCGGCCATTGAAAATAAAAAAACCTTCGTAAGGTATTAAACACGCGGAAAACTAAATAAGATCTGACTGAATGCCAAGAAAACTATATAATTCTCCTCTACAGCGTGTGTCAAGAAAATAGTGATTGGCAATGTTGCTTCAGAAGTAGAATGAAGGCTCTTCATCTCGTTTTACTCGTTTTTATGTTGTGTTAACTTTTGAAGGAAAGTTGGGGACAGAGTCAGAGACGGAGATGATGGCCAAATACTAGACAAGGAAACAAAATATGATACAAAAATCAAATATATAAGTAAATTTAGTATTGGTGATTAGGCAAGAAATAGGCAAAATTCAAGCAACTCAAAGTCTGGTTCATCAAGAGAAGATGAGTACCAAAACAAAGGCAAGTATCCCCTCAAATGTGGTGGTTGTGTTGATGGTGGTGGTGGGAGTATGGTGGTGGTGGTATATTTCTCACCTCATAAATTCGGCTTCAATGCATCAGGAGCCCAAGCATCCACTAGGACACAACATTCTCTAAAAGTTGAGAAATGTCAAGTAACGTATTGCCAACTCGAATTCACAAAATAGATCCATTGATAAGAACGATCAACGAGGAAATATTCAGGAAAAATCTACATTAAATTGAGATATAATCTCTCTCTCGTCGCAATGTAGAAATTTACACCACTCTTTCAAGAACATCCCAAGATGTAAAAAGACATTAAGAAACGTTGGGTCTGCTGCCAAAAGGAAGAAAAAGAGAGAAACAACACAAGGAGACATGAAAATGAAAAATACAACATACCTCATAAAAAAAATGTACAAAACATCTGAAACATGATTAGAAGAACTTGTTGTATTGGCTAGTGAGAGAATCCCTGAGATTTGAATAAAGGCCATAAAGGGAGTACTGACGAAGCTTCTCCACTTCATACCACGAGTTGAAAACAGAATCGTGCTTATCTGTGCCAGAAAACGCCAATTGTATCCCAAGACTACAATCCACAGAACCCCCTTGGTTCTTACAGCTACTCATTCTGATTGCACAGTCCTGGTTGTTGAGGCAAACAAAATTAGAGTTGCCTGAGCATGAAGCACAGCCATCTCTCTTCCAATACAAGTTCTGCAGCCTACCCTTCTTGAATTCGAGAACCTATATTCACAAATTCACATCAGTCTAGCTACGTACATGTGTGAGATTGTTTCAAATAAAAAATTGCAAAGGGTAAAAGCTTATTCTTTACCAGAGTAAAGCTGGTTACAATGTATGTGCTGTTCGCAACGAAAGCAGGGATAGACCTTGCTGCATATTTTCTACCAGCAAATGCCACCATATACCCACCATATGAATCCTTGGAAAGCCCAAAATTCAAGAGATTAGGTTTTAGGTTTTATATCATAATCGGCACCCTAAACCTCTATAAGGAAAAGGTTAGGTATACAACACAAAAATGAATATTGTAGAGTGGAGCATGCTAAATGGTGTTGGTGTGATAATCAGTTACCAGGATATTACATAGAATCTCAGCAGCTATATAAAAACTGCACTGCACACCATGCCATTCAATGAGGTTCTGTAACTCAATTTTAAATGGAAAATAAAGTGCAGCTTCATTTGATTTATAGATTAGTAATCTTTCCATGTGAAATAAGAATCCGTGAAACAACTAAAGGTTCAAAATTTTTGTTCAATTTAACAACGTAAGCAAAACTAGAAAATGAGATCTAATGTCAGATAGAACATGGACCGATAAAGCTACGAAGGTGTGTGTGGGGAGGGGTAAGCTGTGTGCATGAGCTCAAATTCTTCATGAAGCAGTTCTACCCCCATTCAAGGATTATTGACCCATTATCTTTACATGGAATCCACCAACGTCTACCCGATGTGTGTAAAAAGGGCCAACTAATATTGCTAAATGGACCGAGAAGGAGTCACATAGCCTGAATAGCATAAAAATATGGCACGGACTACGGAGTGACATATTAAACGCGCATCCTGGATAACCTCTAAATGCTCAATATGTGAAAATCCATACATACAGCGTGTGCTCTCATGTTTGACACTGGACAGAATAAGAATAGGGTCCACAAAGCCCTCCTTCATATTTCAGATAGACACGGGCACACTTTTTCCCTTGATCACCCAATTTCAAGGGGTGCCCTTGCCCCAAGGCTCCATGGCAATTCCAGAGTCTTGGTTTATGGAGGAAAGGCATCACTATGCTAGGCAGGTGCCCCCTTCTCTCCTTAGGGGGTTTGCACCTACTTCTTGGTCTGCCAAAGAGAGAACAAGGCATTCAATCACCCTAAAGATAGGTATACTTAACATACTGGCCATGCTGGCTAGCTCATCTCAGCCACCAATTCTGATGACCAAATTTGCAAATCCTAAGCTCCACAATCTCAATTCATTGTTAGCAAATCCTAAGCCCCACAATTCCAGTTCATTGTTAAAAATGTGTGTGGCATCCAAAAGAATTGGATGAAATTTTTGGGGTTTCTTGTCATCCCTCAGTTACTCAACACAAACAGAAACACATGAAACAAAGCATTTAAAAATACTATATTGAATCAAGCAACAATGGTAGAAAGCCCTAAACCATAATTAGTGATCAAAACTCCTAGTAAAGAACTACATAAAACTCTAAAGTCGACTACACAGTTTGTCTGTTTTGATCCAATATTTAGTCGACTACACAGTTTCTGTGTTGATCCAATATTTACCACACTTTCCTAAACCAAGCAAATCCATTTGGTCATACACATCTTTCAAAAATTAATACTTTCCACATAATACAACAAGCAAGGAAACCCGTTGCAGATCTAGGTTCAATTTCAGGATCCATCCTGGAAAACATAATCAAAACCATACAGACACTGTTTTACATATAGAAATCACTCATCTCTTGCCTTTTCTTTCTTCTCGCAATTTTCTTCCCAGCAATTATAAATAAACCCAACTTAGATCTAGGTCCAATTTTAAGTACACATACAAGTAAACAAGATCCAAAACCCCCAAATTGTCACAAACACACACATACCCACATAAATAAACTAACATAAACACACATATGAACACGTATTGATTGAAAACTGAAGACCAGAGAGAGAGAGAGAGATTGGGCGGGTACCGGAGAGAAGTTGGTGGTGTTGATGGTGAGCAGAGAGATTTCATCGACCTTGGGTCGGAACACAGCGAGCTGAGAATTCGACGAACTCAAAGAGAGCCTCTTATCACATGGCGATAACTGGAGCGAGTTGTTGAAGAAAAAGGCAGTCCTCGCAGCAAAAGCAATTCCGAAACTGAACCCATCGTCCTTCTGAACCGAAGCATCGTTGCATGGAGAGTAAACCAAGTTCGTATCACCACCCGATTCGGCAAAACAAACCAGTATCGAAAGGGTTAGAGCGAGAATCGAATGTGTTCGAATCGCCATTGTCGTCGAGCAAGGTTTGATGAGAGAGAAAGACAGATTATAGTCCAAAATGAGGTTGACTGCAATACACGGTATTTCCTGGAGAGATAGTGTGCTCCGTATGAGCAGATTGATAAGGTTGGCTATTGCCGTTGATTATGTGGAAAATATGATTTGTGGCTGTTATTGTAAGGTGATTAGTATGTAATTGGCGATACTAGAGTATTATGGTATACAAAACAACAGCCGGGACGAGAGGTAAAATTTCAAAATTTTCTCAAGGTTAATTCTATTGAAACTCCACAAAGTATTGAATTTGTCGTCTTTTACTTTATGATATTTTAATTACGTTATTTTAGTCTTTGAAATATTTATTATTTATTATTTATATTTATATAATAAATTAGTTTATAATTTAAATTTTAAAAATAAATAAAATGACTTTTTATTATTCACGATTGAGATTATTTTAAAGTTAATCTAACAGCTAATATTAACTTTCTAAATTTAATATAAAAAATAGACTGCTAAGGGTGTGTTTGGAGTGACTTTTTAAAAGTACTTTTATAAATTATTTCTCATAAGTACTTTAAAAAAAATAATGTTTGAAACTGTTCCACCACTACCTCTACCACCACCACCATCACTGCTGTCACCAACACTACCAATGCTGCCGCCACCACCACCACCACCGTCGCCACCGCCACCACCATTATCATCGTCACATCGCTACCACCTCCATCATTGTCGTCGCCACCACCACCACCATTGCCTCTGCCGCTACCACCACCGCCGTCGTTGTCACTGTCACCACCACTGTCGCCGTCGCCATCACCATCGCCACCACGGTTATTACCATCTACCACAACCATCACCTTCTCCTATCATCACCACTGCCGCCCACCACCTCTCATCTCTACTATAAATCGATGCTTAAATTTTTTTATCTCTTTTCTATGTTTGTAATTTAATTTTGGATATAAATACATATATATTTATTGTTTTATTACTTTGTGCCTTCAGACACAAACAATAACTAGTTTATATAATAAAGTAACTTACAATTCAAATATTAAAAGATAAACAAAATGACTTTTACTACTCGTAGTTAAAATCGCTTTAAATTTTATTTTAAAGTTAATCTAACGACTAATATTAATACTTTAAATTTAATAAGAAAAATAGGCCCATAAGAGTGTGTTTGGAGTGAATTTTTAAAAGAATTTCTACAAATTATTTCTCATAAATATTTTTTTTAAAAAAATAGTGTTTGAAACCACTCTACCACTACCTCTACCACCACCCCCCATCACCACTGCCATTGCCGTTGCCACCGCTATCGCCCCCACCATCGCCTCCACTGTCACCACCATCTCCACTGCCACCACCACCACCACTGTCACCGCTGCCACCACCACCGCTTCCACCACCACCACTACTACCATCATCGTCGTCGCCGCCACTACCACCACCATCACTGTTGCCCTCGCCGCCACCATCATCGTCACCACGGTCATTCCCACCCACCACCTCTCACCCCCATTTCAAATTGATGTTTAAATTTTTTTATCTATTTTCTATGTTTGTGATTTGATTTTGGATATAAATATAAATATGTTTATTGTTTACTATTTTTTATTACTTATGTCTTTAGACACATACAATAACTAGTATTTCTAAATGGTCTCTCAAGTAACAACATATAAATTTCTAATGATTTTTTATTATAATGTTACGTAATATCTAAATATGAATAATAAATAATTTGGCTAATTTTTGACCAAAAAATAATATGAATAACTTTTGATCAAAATTTGTATAACTCATAATTAAAATTGAGTAATTTGGGTAACTCTTTGACTAAAATTTGAATAGAAATTTGGTTAAAAGTTATTCAAATTATTATTTTTTCTATATTTAAGTATTACGTGACAAATTTATAATAAAAAAATTATTAATAATGTAGATGTTTTTATTTGAGGGACCACATATAAACATATTTAATATTTCAAATATTAAAATTATACAATTAAAATATTAGAGATCAAAATAAGATAATCTCATACTTAATGATCCTTCAATACAATTAACCCTTCTTCCAATTTGCCCAAATGGTTAATAACAAAATTGTGGCGTGCGAGATGGAATGGGTGTTGCGTAGATTATGAGTGGGTTAGTGGCATTTATCATTTGTTTGGAATTGAAGGGGATTTGAGAATAAATATTTCAGAAACTTATCATGTGTTTAATGTTGTCTTTTCAAAAACCTTGACATCACCTGATTTGTACGTGATTGATTTCTGTTACTATTAGTTGTCCAAAATTAGCAATTGATAAATATTCAATTTTTTAGGGGATAATTTGTTAAAATTGAAATTAAGAGGAGTTAATTGTAATTTGACCCAAACTTGGAGGAGTTATTTTATAATTAACCCTTTGCCAAATTATGAAGAACATGACTATGATGCCACTTCACGTGTGTAGTGTTCATGTCAATATCTATAAAAAATTATTTAATACGTTATAATTGTTAAATATTAATATAATACACTTATTATGCTATTTATCAATCATGTCAAATTTAGAATAGTATTGTGTTGGATTTGTGTTGATGGATCAAATTATCACATAAGTTTTGCTAGTAAGGGCATTCCATTAAAAGTGATGGAAAGATTGATCTACAGAAGTCATTGAAACCGATGTACGATACCAAAAAATTATTTTTCGTTCTTGTTATCAGATTCAAGTAGGTGCAATTCTTCGGAAAACTAAGATTAGACAAAAACTTTTTAACTACTATAAAAATTTATAGTAGAAATGAAATGTAATCATCAGTGGTCAAATGTACTATGTACTATATATCATTAAAATTAATTTTGAAAAAATAAGACTTGATAATTTTTCTCTACTCATTTACTCTTTTTTTTTTTTTTTGATTTTTTTATGAAAATTAATCTATACAACTTATAAAGACATCTTCAATATTGACCCACACTTAAACTCAAATTTGAGTAAACAAACTTGATTTTGTTCTGAGTGAATGACTTTTATTTCAAAAATATCTCCGTTTTTATGAGATTTTTAATCTAACACCATCACCACACTATTTGTTTCTTCGTAAGTAATAATATAATAATATTATAAGAGATCTAATCAATCTATTTAACAAAATAAAAATTAATAATTTTATAATACAATCAGATAGGCAATGATTAAAGGGGTCAGATGCTTAAATAAATGATAGATTAATTATTCAAAGATTTATAGAATAAATTAATAATTAAATTTAGTAATAATTAGAATTCGAATTGATTATTTATATAATTCATGTTTTCTATACAAAAATTTGGGTAACAAGTTGAGATGGCCTAAATGTCAACATTTGCAAAAAAAACTTTTAATTTTTCAGTTTATCCCTAATTATTATAATAAAATCAATTATACCCACCTTTCACCTAATTTTTATTTTTTTACTTTTATTTGACTTTTAACTTATTTTAAACTTGAATTCATTTATTAATAGTCTAGTTACATATAATTTTTTATATCTATATGATGAAGTTAAGTCTTATATATGTTAAATTATTATATACATGTAGTTATCAGATTGAATTTCACGGTTAAATATATGTTATATTTTATTTTTTCGTATGTAATAATATAATAATATTATAAGAGGTCTAATCAATCTATTTAACAAAATAAAAATTAATAATTTTATAATACAATTAGATAATCAATGATTAAAGGGGTCAGATACTTAAATAAATGATAGATTAATTATTTAAAGACTTATATAATAAATTAATAATTAAATTTAATAATAATTAAAATATGAATTAATTATTTATATAATTCATGTTTTCTGTACAAAAATATTATTTTAATTTGTTTTCGTGCATTTCTAGTTACAATAAAAGCTTTTATCTAACTATAAGCTACACATAAGATATACATAAATCAGCTAATGGAGGATCAATTCCAAGCAATCTTAAACTGAGGGTAGCAAGAACTATGACCAAATCTTGGGGATAATCCCCACTATGGTAACAGAACAGATGAATATTAGTCTTACAAGGATCCCTACAGTTGAGGAGATTAGAGCAGCTACTTTCAACCTTGGAGCCACAAATGCATCAGGACCAGATGGTCTTCCTGACCTTTTTTTTTTTATTTTTATCAAAAGTACTGGTCAGTTGTCCAGGAAGACCTAATCAAGGCAATCCAATCTTTTTTGCACTCTGGCTTCCTTCTGAAGGAGCTAAATGAGACAAATGCATCATTGGGACCACCCTCAAACCCATAGTCAAAAGGATAGTGTCACACAACCAAAGTGCATTCATGGGTGGGAGACAAATTCAAAACAACATCATCATAGCCCAAGAGGTAATGCACTCAATGAGGCAAATGAAAAGAACCAGAAAATACCACATGGCCATTAAGTTGGATGTGCGTGCAAGATCCTGCACAATATAAAAAACGAGAACAGATCTCTTCCTTGGTGAACTCGAGTGAGCCAGTTGAATGACCAACCACGCTGCTTGGAACAGCCTGCGAGGTCCGGTAATAACCTGGAACGGCAACGGGAGACCCTGGGGGAGCGGAAAAGTGATCCAGTAAGGCTGAAAAAGATTCCTGGAACAAAGAAGAACAAGTTAGAAGGGCGCCGGAGTGTTTTTCGGCGTATCCCCTCCGACGATCTAGTTAGTCTTTGAGAAAGAGAGAGGAAGGAGAAAACACTGAGAATGTATTGCGGTAGAGAGTTTGTTGTTGCATACCCGCTTTGCCTTTTGCAAGGAGTATTTATACCTGAAAAGCTCATGATTGCTGTCAGTGTGGTCAGTAGGTGATCATTAGGCACAGGTAGCGTGCGCATTGGTTCTGATGAGGAATGTCTTCTCTAATTANCATGGTCTGAACTCTTCGATCAGGCGGCGAGGCTAGAGGTCGAGGAAAACTTGGAGGAAGACCCGGATCGGGCTTCGGAGGCAGAGGTAGAGGGAGTTGTTNTCTCGGGGAGGATGCAATAAATGCTCTGTATTAGGAGCATTTATTGTCTTTCATTTCTGAGCCTTACCGCATTGAATGCGGTCTC